CATCTAGTCTGGCCACACACCACACTCTCTTATGCCCGCCCATTGCGTTTGATTTTTTTTTTTAATTTTGTTCCCTTGCACTGTTTTATTGTACTTTTATATTTTTACTTATTTTATTGTGATGCTATTTTTGTCGTTCTGTATTTATTTTGGTGTAATGTATTACCGGGCTCGGCCTCATGTTAGCCGTTGGCGGGGTATAAATAAAGATTTATTATTATTATTATTATTATTATTATTATTAGCCATTATTATTATTATTATTACTAGCCTAAGTTCTGGAGAGACTTATTCTGCATAGAATTATGAAAAAAATAGACCCCTGCCTGATCCCACAGCAAGCTGGCTTCAGAAAAGGCAGAAGCTGCACATCGCAAGTGCTGAACCTGACTCAGCACATAGAAGATGGCTTTGAAAGGCAGCAGATCACAGGAGCTGTCTTCATAGACCTGTCAGCAGCCTATGAGACTGTGAACCACCGCCTCCTCCTGAGAAAAATGTATAGTATCACAAAGGACGACCACCTCACCCGCCTCATAGGAAACCTGCTACAAAACAGGAGCTTTTTTGTTGGGTTCCAGGGCCAGAGAAGCAGATGGCGGAAACAGAAGAACGGCCTGCCTCAGGGGAGCGTGCTTGCTCCATCCATGTTCAACATCTACACAAATGACCAGCCACTGCCAGAAGGGACAGAGAGTTTCATCTATGCTGATGATCGTGCCATCACCGCTCAAGCAGGGAGCTTTGAGATGGTTGAACAGAAGCTCTCCGAAGCTCTAGGTGCTCTTACTGCCTATTACAGGGAAAACCAGCTGATCCCTAATCCATCTAAAACACAGACATGTGCCTTTCACCTTAAGAACAGACAAGCATCCCGAGCTCTGAGGCTGACCTGGGAAGGGATCCCACTGGAGCATTGCAGCGCACCCAAATACCTGGGAGTCACTCTGGACCGTGCTCTGACCTACAAGAAGCACTGCCTGAACATCAAGCAAAAAGTGGACGCTAGAAACAATATCATACGAAAGCTGACTGGCACAACCTGGGGGGCACAACCAGACACAGTGAAGACATCTGCCCTTGCACTATGCTACTCTGCTGCTGAGTATGCATGCCCAGTGTGGAACACATCTCACCACGCTAAAACAGTGGATGTGGCTCTTAATGAGACATGCCGCATTATCACAGGGTGTCTGCGCCCTACACCACTGGAGAAATTACACTGCTTAGCCGGTATTGCACCACCTGACATCCGCCGGAAGTAGCAGCCAATAGTGAAAGGACCAAGGCAGAGACATCTCCAGCTCATCCCCTGTTTGGGTATCAGCCAGCACGTCAACGACTTAAATCAGAAATAGTTTTCTAAGATCTACAGAGACACTCACCGGAACACCTCAGCAAGCGAGAGTCCAAAAGTGGCAGGCTCAAACCCAGAACCTCAATCAATGGCTGATACCAAATGAGAGACTCCCCCCTGGGCACACAGAAGATGGGGCGACTTGGAAGGCGCTGAACAGACTGCGCTCTGGCACCACGAGATGCAGAGCCAACCTCAAGAAATGGGGCCACAAAGTGGAACCCACGACATGCGAGTGTGGAGAGGAGCAAACCACTGACCACCTGCTGCAATGCACCCTGAGCCCTGCCACATGATGCACCATGGAGGACCTTCTTGCGGCAACACCAGAGGCACTCCAAGGGGCCAGAGACTGGTCCAAGGACATTTAACCAACTACCAAACTCACAAGTTGTGTATTTTTCTGTTTGTTTGCTTTTTTCTGTTAGAAATGTAATATAATTTGACTGGTTGATCTGACACGACAAATAAATAAACTGACACAAAAGCACCGTATGTCACAGCAAACGAGATCTCTATGCTGGATTTTGTATCACAAAATCACAACTTGAACCCTTATTATTGACACAAAAGCACAGTATGTCATATTATTATTATTATTATTATTATTTATTATTATTATTATTATTATTATCATCAGCATTATTACTATTATTTTTCGTCCTGGGTGGTCAATATCATTTCCTAATTGGTTCTATCACAAAAAACATGGGAAAAGTTTGCTAAACTGCAGAAACTTTGTCTTTGCACAAAGGAGGGAGGGAAGAGGGGGGGAGGGAGATCACGCTGCAGCGTGTGCTTTGCGATAGTTTTGCAATGACTGTCTCAACCAATTCAATCTAGTTTGTGGCGGCCACAAAAACGAAGTTTCTGGAGTCGAACAACTACAGGAAGTGGTTGAGCGCCCCCACAGCGCCCCCTGCTGGGCAAGAAGGGACACAGAGAGAGAAATGGGGTGGTGGGGAATGTTTGTGTTTTGGGGGCAAGTTCAAAAGAGTTTTTCAAACATTCTCATCAGTATTTTGGGAGAAATAGGTGAGGACTTCCCTGACCTGCAGAAGAGTTGCTGGGTTGCAGTTCCCCTCATCTATTTATATTTACCGTATCAGGAGCGAACCAAGGGTACAGTTGTAATGTATTAACAAACACACAAACAAAACCCCACAAGGTTTGCAAACTTGGCCTGATGCTAAATGTCCCTTGACCAGTAACTGGCCACTTGGAGAGCCTCTGGGGTTGCCATAAGGAGGTCCTCCATGGTGCATGGGGCAGAAGTGAGCAGAAGGGTCAGCTCTACATGGGGGGGGGGGGTCACTGCAGGAGGGTCACTGAGGACACCCCCTGCCTCCCTTAGACCTGACCCCTGTATATGAGGGTAACACTATGCAACACAATTTGTGTTCCTGGGCTATAAACATCATTTCCGCATGGGTCCAATCATCAAAACATGAGGAAAGTGTGTTGTAATGCACACTTTTGGTTTTGGCGGAAGGGACTTCATCCTGCAAGAGCACCTCTTGCTCTAGTTGGTCAATGGGTATCTCACCATTGAGTCTCAACCAAAGAATCCTAGAATCAAAGAGTTGGAAGAGACCTCCTGGGCCATCATCCAGTCCAACCCCATTCTGCCAAGAAGCAGGAATATTTCATTCAAATCACCCCTGACAGATGGCCATCCAGCCTCTGTTTCAAAGCTTCCAAAGAAGGAGCCTCCACCACACTCCCCCCGGGGCAGAGAGTTCCACTGCTGAACAGCTCTCACAGTTAGGAAGTTCTAGGCTGCAAGTTCTAAACCACTTGCAACCTAGTTTGTGGCAGCCCCAAAAATGAAGTGTCTGGAGTCAAACAAGTCTTTTCAAAGGAAGGAATGTACAACGAAAGAGGAAATAACACTTCCAAACCAGGAACAGAAACATCTCCAAATGTTGCTACAGAGCGTAAAACAGGCCTGGGCAAACTTCCTAACTTGGCGGGCCAGATGCTAGCACACCCGACGAGGAGGACTGGCTGACAGGGAAGGAAGGAAGGAAAGAAGGGAAAGAGGAATGAAAGAGAGAAGGAAGGAAGGAAGGAAGGAAGGAAGGAAGGAAGGAAGGAAGGAAGGGCGAAAGGAAAGGATGGAAGGAGAAAGAGGGAGAGAGGAAAGGAGGGAGGGAACAGGGAAGGGAAGACAAAAGGGGAGGGAGGGAGGGAGGAAGAGGAGGGAGGGAGGAAGGAAGGAAGGAAGGAAGGAAGGAAGGAAGGAAGGAAGTAAGAGAAAGAGGGAAGAAAGGATGAAAGGTGGAAGGGAAGGATGGAAGTAGAAAAGAGAAGGGAGGAGGAAAGAAGAAGGAGAGAGAAGGAAGGAAGGACAAAAGGAGGAAGGGAAGGATGAAGGAGGAAAGGAAGGAAAAAAAGAGGAGAGGAAGGAAAGAAGAAGAAGAGGAAGGAGGAAGGAAAGGGTGGAAGAGAGATGGATGGATGGATGGATGGATGGAAGGAAAGAAGGAAGGATGGAAGGAAGGAAGGAAGGAAGGAAGGAAGGAAGGAAGGAAGGAAGAGAAAGGGAGGTAAAGAAAAAGGGGGAAGGAAAGAAAGTTAGAGAAAGAAGGAAGAAGAAAAGGGAGGGAGGGAGAAAGAGAGAAGGAAGGAGGAAAAAGGAAGGAGGGGAAGAGAAAGAGGAGGGAAGGAAAGGAAAAGAAGGCAGGAGAAAGAGGAAGAGAAGGGAGGGAGGGAGGGAGGGAGGGAGGAAGGAAGGAAGGAAGGAAGGAAGGAAGGAAGGAAGGAAGGAAGGAGAGAAGGAAGGAAGGAAGGAAGGAAGGAGAGAAGGAAGGAAGGAAGGAAAGAAGGAAGGAAGGAAGGAAGGAAGGAAGGAGAGAAGGAAGGAAGGAAGGAAGGAAGGAAGGAAGAAAGAAAGAAAGAAAGAAAAGGACAAAAGAATGGAAGGGAAGGGAGACAGGAGAAAGACAGAGGGAAGGAAGGAAGGATGAAAGGGAAGGAGAAAGAGGGGGGGGGGGAGGAGGAAGGAAAGAGAGAAGGAAAGAAGGATGGTGAGAGAGAAGAGGGCCTGAGAAAAGAGCCCAAGGGGATGCATTTGGCCCCTGGGACTGACTTTGCCCATACCTGCCTGGTGTAATAGGAAGGGCTGCCACCCAACGGCCTACCTGCAGGGCAGCAAATCAGGCAAGCCTGAGGAGGAGGGTGGTCCTGACCCCCCTGTTCTCCTTGCCCCAAGCACACTAATCAACCCGTACAGGAAGCCTTCCTATGTGGAGGCAGCAGGGGAAGGTTGCCCTTTTCTGCAATTGGGGAAAGACAGGGTTTTCTCACTACTTTGCAGTTCGCTTTTAGCGGACTCGCTGTTTCGCGGATTTTTGGAAATATTGATATAAAATATATAATATTTACGTCCAGTGCAGGCCGGGGACCAGGAGGAGGGTAAGAAAATAACATATAAAATATATAAACTAATGTATAAATAGTGAAATTAATATGGCGTCCCTACTTTGCGGATTTTCACTTATCACAGGGTTTCCTGCAATAAGTGAGGGAACACAGTACATCTTTTACTGTTTGGGAGACTAATGGCCTTTTGGGCAAAGCCAGGTGCTGCCAGGGCTGTCGGGGACCCCCCCCCCCATCCATCCCCCCCGCCCCGGCTCACCTTTCCTGTACTTGTGGATGGGGATCTTCTTCAGCTGCTCCTTCGAGAGGCGGTTCCTCCGCATCCGCTTCCGGTGCTGGACGCAGCGCACAATCTGAGGAGAGGGGAACAAGGGGCGCATCAGAGGACTCCTTCCCCACATTCACCTGCACAACACACGCTTTTTATATGAAGCCAAGGCACAAACAGGCGTACGTTATTCCGTTTTGGCTCTGCTTTCTGCACAAGCGCCGATGGCCCATTTAGACACACCTCGCTCCCAAAGACCAGCCAGGGAGTCAAACAGGGAGGATTTGCACCACTGACTTTGGACCAGAGACATTGGTGCGCTTGCTTGGCAACGCAGAGGGCTGGAAAAGATCTGAAGGCTGGGAAGGGATTGGGATGATAGGGATGAGGGTGTGACTGCAGAGTCCTCATTACTAGGAAAGTGGAAAGCCCCCTTCTCTGGAGGTTTTAAAACAGAGGCTGAATGGTCATCTGTCAGGAGGGATTGGGTGTTGTCTTCCTGGCTCCTGCATGGAACTGCAGCTGGTTCTGGAGCCACATGGCACCCCGAATGCTTGGGACCTGCATTGGCGCATGGCTCACCAGGATAAGGCCTGGACTGGAGGGCCCTGGGGGTCTCTCCCTACGCCTATGATTCTATGACCACCACCCCAAAGCCAAAGCAGGGCAAGAGGGGTTTGCCCCCCAGTTTAGGAGACCTAAACTAGAATGGTTTAGGGCCCCAGCTCTCTGTTGCCTTTCCGGAAAGCACTTGGGATTGCAATACAGTAAAACTTCATGTGACACATCATCCACTGAGGAGCACCTGGTACTTCCTTTGGAGACTGAGCCCCACTGAGATGCTGGGATGTGAACCCCTACCTCCACTCCACGCTTCCTCAAAGTCCAGGGAAATCCCTCTTAAATGAAAAAGGCAATTTCTTTCTGTCTGGGTGGCTGTGAGTTTTGCAGGCTATATATATATATATAGTTTCTCAAGTTGCTCCTGACACGACATATATATTTTGTCGTGTCAGGAGCGACTTGAGAAACTATATATATATATATATATATATATAGTCGTGTCAGGAGCGACTTGAGAAACTGCAAGTCTCTTCTGGTGTGAGAGAATTGACCGTCTGCAAGAACATTGCCCAGGGGACGCCAAGATGAATTGATGTTTTTGTCATACTTGTGGGAGGCTTCTCTCATGTCCCCGCATGAGGAGCTGGAGCTGATACAGGGAGCTCTATATGGCCATGCTCCAGTAGCATTCTCTCCTGACTTTCCCCCTGCATATGTGACTAAATGGTATCTTCAGAGGTTCTACTGGAGGTGAGGCAAGTAGTGTGTGTGTGTGTATCTGTGGAATAATGTCCAGGGAGGGAGAAAGAACCTCTGTCTGTTGCAATGAGCAATCTTGAATAGCATTGAGGAGCCATGAATCTGCAAAGTCAATCAGGGAGGGTCTCTGGATAGAGGTAGTGATGTAAGTGGGGTGTATAGATATCTGTAGAATAATGTCCAGGGTGGAGAAAGAACCCTTGTCTGTTTGAAGCAGGTGTGAATGTTGCAATGAGCAATCTTGAATAGCATTGAGGAGTCATGAAGCTGCAAAGTCAATCAGCGAGGCTCTCTGCATAGAGGTAGTGAATCAAGTGGAGTGTATAGATATCTGTGGAATAATGTCCAGGGTGGGAAAAGAACCCTTGTCTGTTTTTATGTACTCATACACCTACTATTATATATCTCTGCCTATTTGTCCTTGTTTTTGTGTGCAGAACAAGTGAGTGGAAAACTGCTGGTGACTTTCTACTGCCGTGCTATAGAGTGTCCTAACATTTGCATATGGTTTGCTCATTGCACGTAATTGCAGATAGGAAGGCGCTCCAATTATCGGTTTCCCTTTGGAAGAACTTTATGATCCCCGCTACCTTAAGAAAGCTCAGAATATTCTTAAGGCTCCTTCTCACCCTGGATATCCTTATTTTAATTTATTACCTTCTGGCAGATGCCAGAGGATGACAAAAACAAGGACCAATAGGCTGAGAGAGAGAGAGAGAGCTTTTATCCCAGAGCTGTGACTATATTTGTAGTTTTGAGCTGATGTGGCATTAGGGAGTTGTGCAATAGTGATCAGAAGGTGGAAGGATGGGTGCTTTGTTTACATACATAATGTGTATTGGGGGTGGCATTTAATTCTGCCGTACAAGGTACAATGACAATAAAATTATTCTCTTCTATGAAGGGGATGCTTGGAGGCTCCTCTCTCCTAAAGCAACTTGTAATCTGAATAGTGGGTGCTAGAAACAATATCATAGGAAAGCTGACTGGCACAACCTGGGGATCACAACCAGACACAGTGATGACATCTGCCCTTGCGCTATGCTACTCTGCTGCTGAGTACGCATGCCCAGAGTGGAACACATCTCACCACGCTAAAACAGTGGATGTGGCTCTTAATGAGACATGCCGCATTATCATGGGGTGTCTGCGCCCTACACCACTGGAGAAATTACACTGCTTAGCTGGTATTGCACCACCTGACATCCGCCGGGAAGTAGCAGCCGACAGTGAAAGGACCAAGGCAGAGACATCTCCAGCTCATCTTGTTTGGGTATCAACCAGCACGTCAACGACTTAAATCTAGAAATAGTTTTTCTCAGATCTACAGAGACACTCCCTGGAATACCTCAGCAAGCAAGAGTCCAAAAGTGGCAGTCTCAAACCCAGAACCTCAATCCGTGGCTGATACCAAATGAGAGACTCCCCCCTGGGCACACAGAAGACTGGGTGACTTGGAAGGCGCTGAACAGACTGCGCTCTGGCACCACGAGATGCAGAGCCAACCTTCAGAAATGGGGCCACAAAGTGGAGTCCATGACATGCGAGTGTGGAGAGGAGCAAACCACTGACCACCTGCTGCAATGCAACCTGAGCCCTGCCACATGATGCACCAGGGAGGACCTTCTTTGCGGCAACACAAAGGGGCCAAGGACATTTAATCAACTACTAAACTCACAATTTTCGTATTTTGTATTTTTGTATTTTGTCTGTTTGTTTGCTTTGTTCTGTTAGAAATGTAATATAATTGACTGGTTGCTGATGACTCGATAAATAAATCAACTACCAAGCTTGCAAATTTTGTGTTTTGTTTGTTTGTTTGTTTGTTTTGTTCTGTTAGAAATGTAATACAATTGACTGGTTGCCCTGACATGGCAAATAAATAATAAATGTGAATATAAGTTATTTTAATGTTTGTATATATTTATGGTTTTATGTTCCTGAATTGAATGTTTGCTGTATATATGTTGTGCTCCGCCCTGAGTCCTCAGCAGGGTGGAATATCAAAGCTTTAAATAATAAATTAATTAATTAATTAATAAGCAAAGCCCACGGGTGAGATGCAGCTTGACAGCAGGAAAGGTTTTGCCATCCTCCAGCATGGGACTGCAGCTGATTCTGGAGCCAAATGGCACCCCAAATTCTTGGGGGTCCCCTACCGCTGTCCCACCCCCTCTGCATTGGCGCATAGCTCACCAGGATGGTGCACATGACGGCGATGACGATGCCCACGACCCCCGTGAAGGGGATGAGGTAGTAGCCCAGCGGGAAGATGTACTCTGGGATCAGGATCACTTGGCCCCTGAAGGAGAGAAAGAGAGAGAGAGGAGGGCAAGATATAACATCATTATTATTATTATTATTATTATTATTATTATTATTATTATTATTATACTATATTGTCTCTAAGGAGCTCTGGTGGCGCATGGGTGAAACCACTGAGCTGCCGAACTTGCTGACCAAAACGTCGCAGGTTTGAATCTGGGGAGCGGGGTGAGCTCCCGCTTTTAGTCCCAGCTTCTGAAAACACGCAAATGTGAGTCGATCAATAGGTACCACTCCAGCGGGAAGGTAAACCACTGAGCTGCCGAACTTGCTGACCAAAACGGTCGCAGGTTTGAATCCGGGGAGCGGGGTGAGCTCCCGCTTTTAGTCCCAGCTTCTGAAAACACGCAAATGTGAGTCGATCAATAGGTACCACTCCAGCGGGAAGGTAAACCACTGAGCTGCCGAACTTGCTGACCAAAAGGTCGCAGGTTTGAATCCGGGGAGCGGGGTGAGCTCCCGCTTTTAGTCCCAGCTTCTGAAAACACGCAAATGTGAGTCGATCAATAGGTACCACTCCAGCGGGAAGGTAAACCACTGAGCTGCCGAACTTGCTGACCAAAAGGTCGCAGGTTTGAATCCGGGGAGCGGGGTGAGCTCCCGCTTTTAGTCCCAGCTTCTGAAAACACGCAAATGTGAGTCGATCAATAGGTACCACTCCAGCGGGAAGGTAAACCACTGAGCTGCCGAACTTGCTGACCAAAAGGTCGCAGGTTTGAATCCGGGGAGCGGGGTGAGCTCCCGCTTTTAGTCCCAGCTTCTGAAAACACGCAAATGTGAGTCGATCAATAGGTACCACTCCAGCGGGAAGGTAAACCACTGAGCTGCCGAACTTGCTGACCAAAACGTCGCAGGTTTGAATCTGGGGAGCGGGGTGAGCTCCCGCTTTTAGTCCCAGCTTCTGAAAACACGCAAATGTGAGTCGATCAATAGGTACCACCTGCAGGAAGGTAACTGCACTCCATGCAGCCATGCTGGCCACATGACCTTGGAGGTGTCTATGGACAATGCCGACTCTTCGGCTAAGAAATGGAAATGAGCACCACTCCTAGAGTCGGACACGACTAGACATAATGTCAGGGGAAACCTGGTGATGCAATGGGTTAAAGCACTGAGCTGCTGAACTTGCTGACCAAAAGGTCACAGTTTCGAATCTGGGAAGCAGGGCAAGCCCCCGCTGTTAGCCCCAGCTTCTGCCAACCCAGCAGTTCGAAAACATGCAAATGTGAGTAGATCAATAGGTACCGTACGCTCCAGCAGGAAGGTTAACAGCACTCCATGCAGCCATGCTGGCCACATGACCTTGGAGGTGTCTATGTACAACACCGGCTCTTCGGCTTAGAAATGGAGATGAGCACCAACCCCCAGAGTCGGACACAACTAGATTTAATGTCAGAGGAAACCTTGACCTAACCTAAGTGCTATATAGAACCAAAAGATCGCAGGTTCGAATCCGGGGAGCAGGGTGAGCTCCCACTTTTAGTCCCAGCTTCTGCCAACCTAGCAGTTCGAAATCATGCAAATGTGAGTCAATCAGTAAGTGCCGCTCCGGCAGGAAGGTAACAGTACTCTGTGCAGTCATGCCAGTGGCCACATGACCTTGGAAGTGTCTACGGACAATGCCGACTCTTCGGCACCAGAGTCCCAGAGTCGGACACACCTGGACTTAATGTCAGGGGAAAATCTTGACCTTTACCAATTTTGTACCTGTGTAATCAATGCCATTTCCTAATTGGTTCTATCATAACAAACATGGGAAAAGTTTGTTAAACTGCCAAAACTTGGTTCTTGTGGGAGGGAGGGACATGATCCTGCAACACCACTTTTTGCTCTAGTTTTTCAATGAGTATCTCAAGTAATTCGACACATCAAAAGGTTCTCCCAGGCACTGCCAAGCCATCAAATGCTAATCAAGGTGGTCAGTTGAAACATTCCCACCTAGCTCCAACAGACAAGAGTCCTTTGTCCCACCCTGGTCATTCTACAGATATATAAACCCAATTTTCCTAGTTCCAACAGACCTCACTACCTCTGAGGATGCTTGCCATAGATGCAAGCGAAACGTCAGGAGAAAATGCCTCTAGAACATGGCCATATAGCCCGGAAAAACCTACAACAACCAAGTAATTTGACACAGTTTGTGGCAAAACGAAGTGTCTGGAATACAGCAAGTACTTTCAAAGTAAGGAACACAGTGTTTGGCTTTATCACAGGGGTCTTTGTGGGCAGCAGCAGCACGGCAGGAGCTAAGTGCGCCTTTGCACGGTGTTTTAGTGCTGCATCTCAGCTGACTGCTTGTTTTCCATTTTTGTCTTTTTCAAGCCTGTAAGTTTATCAAATACTGTCCACAGTTCGATTCTATGTGAATGCCAACATCTTGTGCCCATATATTTGATTACTAGCCATCCCCTGCCACGCGTTGCTGGGGTCCAGTCTGTGTATATGTGTTTTGTGCATGTATATATGTGGTTTTGCACATGTGTTGTAATGTATTTATTTTATTTTTTTGGATTTTTAAGACCCTTCTGCTGTGTTTTTCAGTGTTTTTATGAGTGACGGTCACTTGCTAGCCTGAGAAGTGCATTGTGTCCGCTTTTTAAGTATCTTTTGCTGTGTTTTTCAGTGTTTTTATGAGTGACGGTCACTCGTTGGCCTGAGAGGTGTCTTGTGTCCAAATTTGGTGTCAATTCGCCCAGTGGTTTTTGAGTTCTGTGAATCCCACAAACAAATATTACATTTTTATTTTTTTTAAATTTATTTTATTGTGTGTGGATCTTCACATTCAAATTGCGTTTGAGAGCATTCGGATTTGAATAACTGATTAATTGATAGTTTAATTCCCCAATTAATCTATATTATTTTGCCTCTTTCCTTCGTCCTTTTCCCTGCACTCTCTCAAGAAAGTGGTAGAGGACCAGACAGTACGAAACACTGTAGGATTCTGAAACTTCAATTAAATGATGTACTTATAAAACAAATTGGGAAATAGATTTAAGAAGTATTCCTACATTTTATAGCGTGATTATTGCAAAATCGATGACACTAGGAGACTAATTTGGAGATCAATTTAAGTCAGTATTGGTTTTGATCCTTAAAAAGGATCAACGTTTTTATTTATATAGATACTAGCCGTTCCCTGCCACTTGTTGCTGTGGCACAGTCTGTGTATATGTGCTTTGCGTGTATATGTCTGTGTATATATTTGTGTATATGTGTGTTTGCATGTGTGTGTGTGTGTGTGTGTGTGTGTGTGTGTGTGTGTGTGTGTATATATATATATATATATAATCATAGAGTCCTAGAGTGGGAAGAGACCTCCTGGGCCATCATCCAGTCCAACCCCATTTTGCCAAGAAGCAGGAATGTTTCATTCAAATCACCCCTGACAGATGGCCATCCAGCCCCTGTTTAAAAGCTTCCAAAGAAGGAGCCTCCACCACGCTCTGGGGCAGAGAGTTCCACCGCTGAATGGCTCTCTTCAGTGTCAATGTTGACTTTGGTGGAGAGGTGGCTGCCAAGGTTCATTCAGTAAAATGTTGCACTCGCAGAGCTCAGGCGGTGTTGATTACATGTGTTGTAATGTATTTTTTATTGTTAGGCTTTTAAAGTCTCTCCTGCTATGTTTTATCAGTGTTTTTATGAGTGATGGTCAGTTGTTGGCCTGATAGGTGTATGTATTTACTCGCGTCTAATGTGCCATCGAATCTAATGCACACCTACCTTTCCAAAACCCTGAAACCAAAACAAGTATTTGCTGCTGAATGTAATGAATGCTCAGAGGGGAAAAGGGCACTCTTTTGTAATGTGGACACTGCAATTGCTGCCTGCTTAGAATTCTATTGTTATAAACAACTGTGTTCGAAGACCAAACTTCCAGGAGCGGAAAGGGAAACTTTGGGGTGCATCTCTACTGCAGAATGAATCCACCTTAATGGCCTTGGTCCAATGCTATGGAATCATGGAGGATGTAGTTTTGCAAGAACGGAAAATGGAATGTTGGTGGACAGGAAAAGAGATTGAAAGATGGGCTCAAAGCCAACCTTAAAATCTCTGGCATAGACACTGAGAACTGGGAAGCCCTGGCCCTTGAGTGCTCCAGCTGGAGGTTAGCTGTGACCAGCAGTGCTGCAGAATTCGAGGAGGCACAAGTGGAGGGTGAAAGAGAGAACCGTGCCAAGAGAAAGGCGCGTCAAGCCAACCCCGACCGAGACCGCCTCACACTTGGAAACCGATGCCCTCACTGTGGGAGAAGATGCAGATCAAGAATTGGGCTCCACAGCCACCTACGGACTCACAAGAATTCTGATCCTGGAAGACTATCCTACTTGGCCAACGAGGGATCGCCTAAGTAAGTAAGTAAGTTTTGCAAGGTCTTGAGCCTTCTCTGCCAAAGAGTCGGGGAGGCGGAGTTGCAGTGGTCTACAGAGATTCCATTCTTCTGACCAGGGCCCCCATCCCGCAGTCAACAAATTTTGAATGCGTCCACCTGAGGGTGGGTGACCGGGACAGATTAGGGATTCTGTTAGTGTACCGTCCACCTCGCTGCACTACAGACTCCCTGACTGAGCTAGCGGGGGTGGTCTCGGACCTGGCATTGGAGTCCCAACGGCTGCTTGTGCTGGGGGACTTCAATGTCCATGCCGAGGCCGCCCTATCTGGAGCGGCTCAGGACTTCATGTCTACCATGGCAACCATGGGGCTGTCCCAACAGGTATCTGGCCCCACCCACAGTGCTGGACATACATTGGACTTGGTTTTCTGTCAGGGATGGGAGGAAGGTGGCGGTGTTGAGGAGTTAACCATCTCTCCGTTGCCGTGGACTGACCACCACCTGGTCAGCTTTAGACTCACTGCACCCCCTAACCTCCGCAGAGGTGGAGGACCCATTAAATTGGTCCGCCCCAGGAGGCTTATGGATCCGGATGGATTCCTGATGGCTCTTGGGGAATTCCCCGCCACCTCGGTTGGTGATCCTGT